TAGCTTTTTGAGTTCTTTATATACCCTAGTGCTCTATCTGATATGTGAGGGGTAAAAATTTGCTCCCAAGGTGTATACTCTCTATTCACCTCACAGATTGTTTCTTTTGCTGAAAAGAAACTTTTTAGTTTGAGTCCATCCCATTTATTGACACAGAGACTAACCCACAAAATTACAATTATCTTATATTAGACAAAGGTGCCAAAAGCATGCATTGGAGAAAAGATAGCCTCTTCAACAAATGGTGCTGGGGAAACTGGAAATCCATATGCAACAAAATGAAATTAAACCTCTATCTCTCACCATGCACAAAACTCAACTCAAAATGCATCAGGGACCTAAGAATTAAACCAGAGACTCTGCACCTATTAGAAGAAAAAATAGGCCCTAATCTTCATCATGTGGGATTAGGCCCCAAATTCCTTAATAAGATTCTGATAGCTCAAGAATTAAAACTAAGAATCAATAAATGGGATGGACTGAAACATAAATATATTTTCTATGTGTGCCCTTCATGAGTGGCTGATCTATAAACCTATTCCCAAAGCTATTTCATCATTAATTTTCTAACGTAAATCTCTCCAAGTCCCTGATCATACAATATTTTATTCATTGCCAATGAGGCAAAGTAGATCCAAACCCCCAACAGTGATAGATTTTATTTAAAAATTGACACTCATATGAACCACACAAAATTTTACTCATTGGTAGCATGTCTTTTTCCCATCATTTCTTTGGATTATCTCTGAGTTGCAATATAGTTCAGCACTATTCACTTGCAACATAGTGCCAAAATACATCTATAAATGAAGCCATTGTTTGTCTCTCTTTTTCTAAGTGGTCATGAGGATGATGAACTCCCCATGAGGGCATACATGATGTACATAGTATTTTATTCAGTTTCTGCTACTGTAACAGATACCTACAATAAATCAACTTATAAGGAGGAAAATTTTGTTTTGGTTCATGGTTTTGGAGGCTTTATTTTATTTTCAGCTGACCCTGTTGCTGTGGGCCTGTTTCAACACTATGTGTCATGATGGGAGCAACTGGCAGAGGAGACACATCCACCTCATGACTGAGTATGGGAGAGAAAGAGGGACAGGAAGGGGTTAGTGTCCCAATAGCCCCTTCAAGGGCACATACTAGAAGACCTCTCACCAGGTCCCATTTCTTAAAGGTTCAATCACCTCCAAAATGTACCACTCTGGGGAACAAGCCTTTAACAATGGGCTTATAGAGGACATTCCAGATCTACACTATAGAACATAGGTTGAGAAAGAGCAGAAATAGCAGAAGTATATATCAAAGGAGTCTGGTCCAACTGCACATTTCATTTACCTGTACCTTCTTGACTTACTCAGGCATACTTTTAAAGCCATTTTCAACTAATGCTGGAAAGTTGGTACACACAATACACTTTATTATTTAGGAGAGTAAACAGAAACAAGTTCACAATGTGTGACTCATTTGTGCAGAAAATTAATATCACATGATCAAGTGTTAAGTCTGTGCTAGGTTTTAGTACCAAGCCAAGAGCTATGGTTTTGCTCTAAAACTGTAGGACTGTGTAGTTTAATTCTACTACTGGGGCTTTCTAAGACTTCATGGATTCTCTGTGTCTAACATACACACAATATAATTGGATTTCCAGGGTCATGAAACTGATGTGTGAGAGAAGCTTGCACTATATAGCCTGGACCTACTGTAGATACTGTAGATCTTTTTCCCCCTCTGATTACCACTCAAAACTAGAAATTGTGCATAGTCCAAGCACAAAAGTAATATGATATATGTTGCCGCTAAAATCAAAAGCCTGAATTTCCATAAATTAAGTGGAAAAAGATCATCTTCAGGTATGTGCTCAACGGCTACTCCTCCAGGGCATCTTCCCAACTTCCTGGCCTCCCATGATGGCAGGCATGCTTTCACTCTTTTGTGAAGCTGTGTTCCTATAGCATGTACAGAACCCCCCACTGGGTCTTTTTACAGCACAAATCCCACAGTTGGTTAGTTTCACTTTGCAGAGTCTATGTTCCTGGGGTTGAGAAGTCCCATCCACTACAGCCCAGGAGCTCTCCTTGGTGCTGCAGATTATGTATTCTTTAATAATGTCAGCTTGGACTGTGAACTACAATAGCACTGTTCAGCTTGTGAAGCTCATGATTTCCCAATCTTTGGGATACTGTAAACAAATCCTGGCTAAACAACTTAATTTCTTTATCCAAGGTTATTTAGGTAGATAGGGGCTAAAAGGAGAAGAATTCATGATTCCTGACTTAGTCATGATTATTTCCAATTTTACTAAGTGCCTAATATTTGTCATTTAATTATGCTGGGCATTAGGAATATTAGTATGAAATAGACAGGCTATGCCCTAAGATTCAAAGAGTATAATGCCAATATTTCTCATTTTTTACCACAACCTACAGTGAGAAATAAACTATTCATCACAACTTATCATATCCACATGCATATACATATAAAACACAAATTTTACAAAATAATATTCACCCTAACTACCTACAATGCAATTTGATATTTCCTATTTGTCTCTATTATATCCTATTTCATTAGAAAAGTTGTAGGTTTTGACCCACTGAATTTATTTAAAGATCTATTTTGCATGGAGAAAGGAAAAGTGTGGTTTAGTGAACATGGTCCTTTTAACAATCTGTGACGTGTATATTGTATAATGTGTATATTTATCCCTTCAGGCACATGATTCCATGTGAAGTTGGAATATGGAATCTGAGAAGAGTTTCCCTTCAGGAGGTGTTTCTCCAAGTTCAATGTGCAAAAGAATCACCTTAGGATCTTGTAAAAATGAAGATTTTAACTCGGTAGGTCTGAGATGGGGCCTGAAATTATTATTCTATTTCAGATTATCTCTCAAGTGATGCTGATGAAGCTGGTGCATAAGCCATAAGTTTACTACTAAAAATTTAACACTCAAAATGTGTTAATGGTTCTACTGAACTGCTAAGGTGGGACCCAATGAGAAACTCCTGTAAGTGATCTCAACCTAGGAAACAGAATCTGCATGCAAGATATTACTAACTTATGAGAACAAAACAAGTGCTATCATAGATATTGTTTCTGGCCTAGCCTGCAATATCTGAATTTAATTGAGAATATTTATATCTCACAAACAAATCAACAAAGTGTACACAAATGATCATTTGGCTAAAAAATAAACCAAGGATATTAATTAGGGCCAAAGTAGCAGTAGAGTGATACTACAAATAACTGATGGTGGTAACTCCAAAGTCAAGAGAAGGCTTTATTCACTTCACTATAGTGGTCAAGGGTGGTGAACATTGGCTCAGCAGTGACTCCAAATAAGTTGACATCTTAAAGCCTCTATCATTAAAGGGTGCCAAGCTCAGGATAAAGGGAACAGTGTCCAGCAGACACAGCAGAACCCAGGAGAGAGCAGCATCTATATCTCTGCTGCCTGGACTTGCCTTGGGAATAACTAAGATCTCCCTAGCTCATAGATGACAAGACTGACCCTCATAGAAATGAATTTAAGTGTCAGGCAGATGTCTCCAGCTGTGAGTCCCAAAGGTAATGTGAATTTTACATTCTGACATGGAATTTTAACTGTCTTCAATGATATCACAGGCTTAACCAACAGTTAATTGCTTATCATGTATTGTTTTCTGGTTTTAGTATTTTAATGTTATGATGATGGCAAACATAATCCATATCCTTTAAGAAAAAGCAGAGATCAGTGAACAACAATCAAAAAATTAGTCAAACATGGAGGAGCCATAGGATGGTAGAGGATCCAGGAGAAGGGACAGCAGTGCCCACTGACTTGATAACACCTATGGAAGACCCACAGAGGGTATACCAGCAAAGGAAGGTACGGGGGCACCTAACCATCAGGTAGTCAAACTCATTATATAGAACAGGCAAGACCTATTCTTGTTTACTATGTAGGAATAACCATTATCTCTTTTTTAGTGTACACACTTTCAGAGTTTTCTGTGTGTTCAAATGAATTATGTCAATATATTTACAGTTTTACAAAAGTTTGCTGATACTGTACCTGTGGTTCTGCAAACTGTTTATTATTTTACAATGTACCATGAACATCTTTTCCATGCACATGGGGTGAAAATTCTGTACCAAAAGACAGAGCGCTGTAGTTAGATCAAAAAGCTGCTGGTAACAAGAGTGACACCTAAAGCAAAATATCAGCTTAAGGTTAAAGCACAGGACCTGGCAAGTATCTACCAGGGAAAGCAGGGCTGGCAATCTCATCAGAGAAGTCTGAATCCATGACCAAAGGCATTAAAGGTAGGGAATATCGTGTAAGCCCCTTTGGCCCCTACCTCCGCCCCTCACTCCCCTGACACCCCGCTGGCCCCTTGGGTTGAACGCATCCTGAGCATCTCTTTGCATCCAGTGAAAACTACCCATTTTCTGTTGTTTTTTCCTTAGCTCTTCCTGAGCCCTTGACATATCTGCACATTCTCTCATCATCTCCTCACTGCTCAAATGCCTGTCCTGTAAGTCCTCCTGAGAGTCCTTGGGGGAATCATCGGTGCCCCTGTCCGTTTTTCTTTTGGCTTTCCGGGGCACATAATCTTCAGCGGGGCGCTTTTCGGCGGCCCGCGGCTCGCTGGCTGGCTTTGCCTGGGATTCTGGCTTGCCCTCCCCTGGTGGCTTGCTCTGACCTTCCGACTTGCCCTGCTTTTCTGCCTTGCCCCCATCTTTCGATTGTCCCTTCTCCTCTGGCTCTCCCTCATCTTCTAGCTTTCCCTCCCTTGCTGGCTTCCCCTCCTCGTCTGGCTTTTCTTCTTTATCTGATTTTCCTTCATCTTCAGGCTCTACTTCGTCTTCTGGCTTTTCCTCGTTTTCCAGTTTTTCTTCATTTTTGCGGTAGGGTTTTTCCATGTCGAGATTTCCCCTCCTTCTGTCATGGGGGATAGGGATGCAGAGAAGAGGAGACAAAAAGGAGACATGGGAGACTGAAGGTCTGGGGGTGTAACGCAGGCCCACAGAATATTGCAACTCGCCCTTAAGAGGGTTCCCCTAAGCTGGTCCGGCCCTCCGAGTGTGCCTCTGCAGGTCCCTTACCCCACACTCCTCCCCCCACAGCGAGCCAACCATTCCCTGGCAGGTCCGTCACCTTCTCCATGCCGCTTCAGCGTGGCGAGGTGCGTGCAATCCATGCGGTGGGGGCGGGTGGTGGGGCATCACAGTCTGCCTGGGGCCATGTCCTCTGCACTCTCACCCCTTCTGGGTCCCTGTTCATGCTCCCTCCTCCCACCCCCTACTGACCTGCAGAGATCCTGGGCGGGTTGCTCCTCTTTTACAGGCCTCCCAGAGCTCTGGGAACAGACGCGCAGACCTGCAGATAGGACGCAGGGCCGGGGCGGGGCGCTCAGAAAAGATCGGGACTCGGGTCCCTATCCTGAATCCAGGCCCTCCTCATTCAATCTTCTCCTCTACTACCCTCTCCCGCACCCCAGCCGCCATTTCTTTTCAGGCCTTGGGCACCAAACCAGGATGCTTTCCAAACTACGTTTGGGTCTGCGTGTCCCCCTCACCAGAGGCGATCTGCCCAACCCATTCCCGCTCTAATTTGTTTTCGTAGGCGCAGAGTGTGAGAGGGGGTTATCCCCAGAATGCGTCTACGTTTCACTGCCGCACTGCGGGAGTGCCCCCCACCCCCGCCCCACCATGGCTTGCGCTAAAATGGATGGAGGGATGTGGGGGTCGAGAAGGCAACGGGAACTCTGCAAAGTCCTCCTTTTCCGCTGTGCCACCCCGAAACGCGCCCCTCTCCTTATGGATTTTGTTTATCCCTTCCCCCGCCCTCTGTCTGCTGCTGCACCTCCACCCCTGCCCTGGGTCCGCTGGCAGCTCCCGCCTTTGCACTGACCTGCGAGGACCCGGGTCAGGCCTGCGCCTCCTCGGGCTCGCAGCAGCCAAGGCAGCAGCTTCAAGAGATGGTTCTGCGTGGGCGCCGGGTCCAGGACCGCACCGCAGGGTTGGCGGGCGCGGGGGCTGGTGCCCACGTCGGCTCCAAGCCAGTCACATGAACACCGCGTCACCCTAACTGGATTTCCCCCCCCCCATGCACCCTCCCCACCTCCCCTCTACCCCCATGAAAGAGGTACTGGGGAGTTACTGACTATGGGGAGGGGGTATGGCAAAAGGGAAGTGGCTCTCACAAAAGAAGGGGGTGGCTTTCTAAACCCAGGTGCTTTACCTGGAGCATCTCACAGCATACTTGCATAATTTTCTTCTCAGATCCTCTTTACAGGTATGACAGCTGATCAAAGAGGGTACCCAGCTTTGCAAAGAGCTTTCAGTTCCTGAACCCCACAATCACTTTAAAAATCATCTCTATATGACTCCGGAGCCTAGAGGTGGTGCATGTCAGGGAAATGAGTTGTCATTCTAAATGGCAGTGTTCCCAGAGTTTCTTTCTTGGCTTCTTCTTTCCTCAATTCACATATATTCTCTGTCTGGCAATCTCATCTGCTTCCCTGTAAACACCAGTGATTCCCCAATCTGCATGTCTAGATCATTCCCTCCCCAAATCTGTCCTACCTTGCCAACTGTCTATTGGATATCACTGCCTAAATGACCCTTATGGACCTCAAAGTCTTTGTACCCCAAACTGATTCAACCAACTCTTCATGCCATTTCTGCTGGCCTCTCTCTAAACTGAAAACTTACCCTCCTACATTTGACTGTTAATCATTGCTGGAGAATATCAGATAGCTAACAATGAAGGCATTAAAATATGTTTTAATATGGACTTCAGATAAAGCTTCATCAAACAATTGATTTGTAACAGATGGCTATGGTTGACTCCTGCTTGCTCTTCTTCCCTTTCCTTTTCCATTTATTTATTTCACATTTGTGAAACCACTACCCAACCCAAAGATGGCTATAATGTGTCTTTTTTCATCTCTTTACTCTGTTTGGAGTTCATTGAACTTCGTGGAATCATAGATTCGTATTTTTCATTATGATTGAGTATTTTTCAGTATTTATTTATTTATTTATTTATTTGATAAGGTCTTGCTAAATTGCTGAACTTGCAATCCTCCTGCCTCGGCCTCCCAAATCACTAGGATTACAGGTGTGCACCATTGTGCTGGGCTATTTTTTTCCTGTGCCTCCTTGGTGGAGTCCTACAGGTCTTTGGGCTTGGTTCATTTTTGCACATTCTTTTCCTTTCTTTTTTCTTTGGATTACAAAAATTGGCCTATCTTCAAGGTCATTGATTCTTTTTTCTACCTGCTCAGATCTGTTGTTGTTATCCCTCTAGTGAGTTTTTCATTTCGGTCTTTGTACTACTGAGCTCCAGAAACAATTTATCTTATTATTTCTATCTTCATATTTCTGTCTCTCTGCTCATAGTCTATATTTGGTGAGACTTCCCATTTCATTTTATCCTTTATCAACCATTTCCTTTGGCTTTGTTGAGCATTTTTAAGACAATTGATTAAAAATCTTTGTTTAGGGCTGGGGCTGGGGCTCAATGGCAGAACACTTGCCTAGCATGTATGAGGCACTGGGTTTGATTCTCAGCATCACCTAAAAATAAGCAAATAAAGGCATTTACAACTACAAAATAAAAATTTAAAAAAATATTTGTCTGGAGCTGGGGTTGTAGCTCAGTGGTAGAGCACTTACCTAGCACAACCCCTAGGTCCTGGGTTCGATACCCAGCACCACACAAAACTAAATAAAAAACAACAGAATTGTGTCCATCTACAACTAAAAATATTTTTAAAAAACTTTTTCTAAGCTAGGCACAATGGTGCACATCTGTAATTCCAGAGACTCCAGAGGCTGAAGCAGGAAAATCACAAGTTTGAGACCAGCTTTAGCAACTTAGTAAGACCTTGTATGAAATTTAAAAATAAATAAATAAATAAAGGGGCTGGGAATGTAGCACAGTGGTAGAGCATCCCTGGGTTCAATCCCCAGTACCACAAAAAATTTTATCTAGTGGGTTCAATATATAAAACTTTCTCCTGTGTAGTTTCTAATAATTTATTCTTCCCTGTAAATTGATATACTTGTAGGATTTTTTAAATGCTTCATCAAATTTTGTCGGAATTTTTATATTTTGGTTATAATATGTTCGCTCTTGCAATCAGATTCTCCTCTTCCCTAGGTTTTGTTGTTGATCTTTATTGTGAGTTATCATTTGTTGTTTATTAGCTTTTTAAATTATATCTGTAAATTCTACATTCTTTGTTATGTGCAGCCTGTGAAGTTAGTATTTTATTAGCTTATTAGTGGGCTTCTGTTTGGACAGTTATTTTAAAGGCCTAGAGCCAACAAAAGGGGGGGGGGGAGAAGGAAAGACTGTCCCAGTCTTTGCTGATAAGCTTTGAATTGAGGCATATTGCAGTGCTTTACCTTCAGCTTGTTTAGAACCTGAAGGTTAGCCCAAAGTGAATTCCTAAGTCTTCTTTGATATTTGCTGAATATGGGGGCCCACTCTTGCATTTGTGTATATGGTATTAATAATTCCCTAGTATATGTGAGAGTTTTGTTTTTAAAGCTTGTTCTTCCACATATATACTTTCCCAAACTCTCCCATATCAGGATTCTCATTATATTTATTTGCTGTCCTGAGTGTTGTCTCTTTCCCTGGACTGCTGTGGCCATTATATGAGACTTTAAATGCTTTTAGAAAAATGTCAACCAGAAAGCCAAACCAACCCTAGCCCTGGACGTGCTCCCAGTCTGGTCCTCCAGAGAGATTCCAAGATGTCCACAACCCACAATCTTATAATTCTATAAGATTCCTTACCTCTAGAATTAGTAATCTAAACCAAGAGAATGGGCTGCCATCAAAATATCAGGTCTGGGTAGTTTTATTAGGAAGTGCTTTCGGAGAATTTAAAAGCAGAAACACTTTCCAATTAGTTTTATGAGGACAGCATAATCCTAAAAAAAAAAAAAAATTCTCTGCCAATCTGGGACATTGTAAGGAGGCAATTTAAAATTTCTCTCTACAAAGCAATTTCTTTCTTTGCCAAGTTTTTATCTTTTTGACTGAACTCCAGAATTCTGAGAATGTTGATTCTTACTGTTTTGTCTAGCTCCCCAATTGCTCATTACAGAGCCCTGGAATCCTATACTCTGACATTTTCTGTGATGTTACTTGTGTCTGTTTGCTTTTAAGTCACTTTTGGTGACTTTTGTCTCATTCTTGAAATCATCTTGTCTTATTTGTTGACATGCAGTTTTTCATAGTATTATTCTATAACATTTTTTATCTACTGGGTTAGTACTGATTTCTTGTCTTTTTTTCATTTTAGTAGTTTCAATATTCATCTTTCTTTATTGATCAGTGCAGCTGTAGTTTTGTCAGTTTTTAAAGATACATATTTTCAAAGATCTCAGTTTTAGTTTCCTTGATATTTTGTCCTCTATTTTATTTATTTCCACTTCAATTTTTACCATTCCTTTCCTTCTTATTTCTTTCTTTCTTTCTTTCTTTTTTTTTTTTTTTGGTGAGGGGTCTACCAGGGATAGAACCCAAGAGCTTAACAACTGAGCCACATACCCAACCCATTTTTTTATATTTCATTTAGAGAGAGGTCTCACTAAGTTACTTAGGGCCTTGCTAAATTGCTGGGGCTGCCTTTGAACTTGCGATCTTCCTGCCTCAGTCTCCCAAGCCACTGGGATTACAGGTGTGTGCTACTGCACCTGGCTAGTTCCTTTTTTTAAAAGTGGAAACTTAGATTGTTGATTTAAAGGCCATGTATTCATCTAAGTAATGCTCTACTATACACATAGGTTTTGATATGTTGTGCTTCTGTTTTTCAAAACATTTTAATTTATCTAATGATTTCTTCTGATGGGAATATATTGTTTAATTTCTACATAAGTCTAAGATTTCCAGATTTTCTTATGTTTTTGGTTACTAATTTAATTCCTTTGTGATCAGAGTATTTGTATAAATTCAATTCTTTTAAGTGTATATAGATTTTCATTATGGCCTCATATTTTTGTTCCCTTGTTTTCCCACTATTATATTATTTTAAAAGGTATTTTTTGTGTATCATTTTACTTCTCTTGTTTCTTTAACAAGATTTTTAAAAAGTTTTCTTAGTAGATGTCCTAGGAATTAAAATTACCATCATAAAACAATCTACATTATATCAATTATAACTGATTCAATGGGAAACAAGATGTTTACTCTAACATGTAGCTCCATCCTCTCCTTCCTTCTTTGTATTATTAACTTCATAGAAATTACATATTTAGACATTATAAACCCATACATACTGCTTGGTAATTATAGTTTTATAATATTTTCTCTTAAATCAAATAGGAGAGGAAAGATATATACATAAATATTTATGTCATTTGTGTTAATTTACTATTGTAGCTGAAACAATTATCACAGGAAGTTCCCAGAGCAAATGCAGCCAAGAGGCAGTCAGAGATGGTAATCCAAGCCACAGCTCTCCACACACTATTCAGAGGGTTTGCACCAATTTTAAGTCCCACCCGCAATCTATGAGTTTACCCTTTCCCACATTCTCTCCAACATTTATTATTACTTGTATTCTAGATAGTTGCCATTCTGACTGGAGTGAGGTGAAATCTCAGTATAGTTTTAATTTTCATTTCTATAATTGCTAGAAATGTTGAACATTTTTTCATGTATGTGTTGATCATGCATATTTCTTCTTTTAAGAAGTGTCTGTTTATTAATTGTCCATTTATTAATTGTGTTATTTGAGTTTTGGGTGTCAAGCTCTTTGAGTTCTTTATAAAATTTTCTGGAAAGTAACGCTTTATCTGAGGTGCAGGAGGCAAAGATTTTCTCCTATTCTATAGGCTCTCTATTCATACTCTTGATTGTTTCCTTTGCTGTGAAGAAGATTTTTAGTTTGATACCATCGCATTTATTGATGTTTGGTTGTTGAGGAAGTTGGTTTCTAAGCCATTTGGCTTAGAAAGTGGGTTTCTAAGTATTTGGCCTACATTTTCTTCAAGTAGGTTTCTGGTCTAATACCTAGGTCGTTGATCCACTTTGAGATGAGTTTTTTTTTTTTTTTTTGCAGGGTAAGAGATAGGGATTAAATTTCATTCTGATACATCGATTTACAGTTTTCCCAGCACCATTTGTTGAAGAGGCTATCTTTTCTCTGATGTATGTTTTTGATGCCTTTATTCTAATATGAGATAACTGTATTTATGTGGGTTTGTCTCTGTACTTCTATTCCAATGGTCTTCATGTCTGTTTTTTTTTTTAACTATTGCTCTGTAGAATTATTTAAGGGTCTGGTATTGTGATGCTTCCTGCTTCACTTTTCTCACTAAGGATTGATTTGGCTATTCTGGGCCTCCTTTGTTTCCAAATGAATTTCATGACTATTTTTATGAATAATGTCATTGGAAGTTTAATTGGAATTGCATTAAATCTATATAGTGCTTTTGGTAGTATAGACATTTGGACAATATTAATTCTGCCTATCTAAGAGCATGGGAGATCTTTCCATCTTCTAAGGTTTTATTCAAATTTTTATTTGGTGTTCTGTAGTTTCGATTGTAGAGATCTTTCACCTCTTTTGTTGGATTGATTCCCAACTATTTTATTTTTAAAGGCAATTGCAAATGGAAGAGTTTTCTTTATTTCTTTTTCAGCTGATTCATCATTGGTGTATAAAAACACAATTGATTTATGGGTATTAATTTTATATCCTTCTACAATTTCTAGAATTTCTAGAAATTTAATTTCTTTGTGATCAGAGTATACCATTTGTATAAATTAATTCTTTTAAGTGTATATATATATTAATTTATTCACTTTTAGTTAATAATACAATTTCTAGAATTTTTCTGGTGGAGGTTTTTGGGTCTCCAAAATACAGGATTATGTCATCAGAAACTACTGATAGTTTGAGCTCTTCTTTTCCTATTTGTATACCTTAAATTCCTTTCTTTTGCCTAATTGCTTTGGCTAGAGTTTCAAGAACTATGTTGAATAGAAGTGGTGAAAGAGGGCATCCCTGTCTTGTTCCAGTTTTTAGAGGGAATGCTTTCAGTTTTTCCATTTAGAATGATGTGGCCTTGGGCTTAATGTATATAGTTTTTACACTGTTGAGATATGTTCCTACTATCCCTAGATTTCTAGTGTTTTGAACATAAATGAATGTTGAATTCTATCAAATGTTTTTTTCTCCATCTATTAAATAAGCATTGGATTCTTATTTTTAAATCTATTTATGTGGTGAATTACATTAATTTATTTCCATATTTTTTAATCCAACCTTGCATCCCTGGGATGTAACTCACTTATCATGGGGCAATATCTTTTTAATGTGTTTTTATGTGATTTGCCTGTATTTTACTAAGGATTTTTGCCTCTTTGTTTTCCAGGGATATTAATCTGAAGTTTTTTTTTCTTGATGTGTCTTTGTCTGGTTTGGGTATTGGGGTGACACTAGCTTCATAGAATGAGTTTGGAAGGGTTTCTTCCTTTTCTATTTTGTGGAATAATCGAGGAGGATTTGTTAGTTCTTCTTTAAAGGTCTGGTAGAACTCAACTGAGAATCAGTCTTGTCCTGGGCTTTTCTTTGTTGGTAGGTTTTTTTTGTTGTTGTTGTTTTGTTTTTAAGCAGGATTTACTGTCTTTTATTTAGTGGTGAAAAAAAGCCAGCAAATCAGTACTTATGTGTGCAGTTAACACTGACCCTTTAACAGAGGCAAACTGAAGAGGAGACAGGAAACCAAGGGGGAGACCAGGACAAAGGCAGTGTGAGCCCAACCACTGAAGGCTGTTTTGTGACCTTGTATTTCAGCAAGGGCAACATGCTCTTTGGTGAGGCCACTTCTTTCGTTAGTGAACACAAAAAATAGCATGTTTTTTTTTTTCCTTCACTTCTGTCAATGGCTACTTTTCATTGTACCTTGTAAAATATAGTCAGCCACTGTAAGAAAATTATCAAATTTTGTCAGAAGTTATAATACACATAATGCGTTCAGAATTACTGCTTGGTTTTTCTTTGTCTTCATCTTTTTTCCCTGAGTGCTTAGGCATTGGAGTCTCTTGTACTCCTTCTTCTGCACCAGATATAGGCTGCTTGAAAACTATTTCATCATCTTTATCATCATCCATTCCCACCACTTGAGATTTTTGTTTCTACAAAAATGTTAGTGTACAAAGTGGTGTGGGTCCCTGATTATCTGTAGACTTCTCAGGAGTGGTACCAGTGCCTTAAGAAGCCCTTTCTTCTTGTTTGGTATGCCTGAAACATTTTTCTTCTTTTATCTTATTGGATAAAACAAATGAAGGGAAATCATAATGAATTCCTTTTGCTGCTAATTTCTTCCTGAGCAATTTGACTTTCCTTTTAAATCACTCTTCCATGTGTAGTTTTTGAATAAATGTCCAATTTTGATTATACTCTTTAAAAAGTTCTTCGTGTAATTTTTACCCCAAAAATTTTCACCAAAAAGGTAGTTATTCATTGTTTCAGCAACTACCTTGGCAACATCTTCAGACTTAAACTGCACAAAGGCATAGCCTCTGCTATTTCTGGTCCTTTTATTTCTGGACAGTCTGAATCTTGTAATAGTGCCAAACTGGAAGAAATATGCTTTGATTTGGGTTTTGTAAAGTTCTTGAGGTGTGTGGCCAACAAAGATTACTTCAGGAATAAGTTTTTCTTGCTTTATTTCTCCTGTATTTTACTTATCACAGCAGTAATGTAAAGAATTAGTTGTTTGATGTCTATCTCCCCACAAAGAAAATCATCAACTGTTTTCTAGGCTTCCATTTCCCGAGCCAGCATCAAGTACATACATAGGAGCTGTAAGCTGGGTTATGCACTGGTGAACCAGCTGTACCTTCTTCTGAAACTGGACATCTTCCTGCGGGTTCAGCAAAAGAATCTGTCTGGGGGACAGTGAAAACCTGCCATGCTGAAAGCTCCTAAACAACATAGCTCCACACAGCGTGCTCCCGGAAATCTATTGGTAGGCTTTTCATGGTGTCTTCAATTTCACTACTTGAAATTGATCTGTTTAAAATTTCTATGTCCTCCTGATTTAATTTGGTAGGTCATGTATCTCTAGAAATTTGTCAATGTCTTCAAGATTTTCTAATTTTTTAGAGTTTAGATTTCTAAAGTAGTTTCTGGTTATACTCTGTAGTTCAGTAGTGTCCATGGTGATATTTTCTTTTTCATCACAAATTTCAATTATTTGTTTTTTCCCTTTTTCTTTTGGTAAATTTGGCAAGGATTTATCAATATTATTCATTGTTTTACAAAAAAACCATCTTTTTGTTTCCTTGTTCTTATATATTTTTAAGATTTTTTTGTAGTTGTGTATGGAAAGAATGACTTTATTTGTTTATTTTATGTGGTGCTGAGGATCGAACCCAGTGTCTCACACATACTAGGCAAGCACTCGGCCACTGACCTCCACCCCGAGCCCCATTTATTTTTTTTACCTCAATTTCATTCATTTCATCTCTGCTGTTAATTATTTCCTTTATTTTACTGGTTTTGGTGTAGATATGGTCTTCATTTTCTAGGGCCTTGAGATGTAATGTTGGGCTTCTTATTTGGTGACCTTCTATTTTAATGAATGAGCTCAATGCTATGAACTTACCTCTTAGAACCACATTCATAGTGTTCCAGAGATTTTGATATATCATTATTCTCATTTACCGCTAAGGATTTATTTTATTACACCCCTGATATCTTTGGCTATGTATTGATTGTTCAATAGCATATTATTTAGTCTCCAGGTGTTTGAGTAGGTTCTATTCTTATCGCTGATTTCTAATTTCATTCCCTTATAATCAGATAGAATCCAAAGTATCATCTCTATTTTTTTGTACTTGTTGAGAGTTGCTTTGCAGTCTAATATAAAGCTTATTTTAGAACATGATCCGTGTGCTGCTAAGAAGAAAGTGTATTCTGTGATTGATGAATGAAATATACTATTTATATCTGTTAAGACTAAATTGTGAATTTTATTTTTTAGTTCTGTTACTTCTTTATTTAGTTTTTGATTGGAAGACCTATCCAGTGATGAAAAAGGTGTGTTAAAGTCATCCAGTATTATTCTTTTTTGGTCTATTTGACTCTTGAAATTGAGAAGGGTTTGTTTGATGTACTTTAGGTGCTTCATTGTTTGTTTAGGGCATAAATATTTACAATTGTTATTTCATGTTGTATAATGACCTTACACAGTATGAAACGACCTTCTTTGTTTCTTTTGATTAACTTTAGCTTGAAATCCACTTTGTAGCCAGGTGAAGTTGCACATGCCTGTATTCCCAGCAGCTCAGGAGGCTGAGGCAGGAAGATCACAAGTTCAAAACCAGCCTCAGCAAAAGTGAAGTGCTAAGCAACTCAATAAGATCCTGTTTCTAAATAAAATACAAAATAGGGCTGGGGATATGGCTCAGTGGTCAAGTGCCCCAGTTCAATCCCTGGTAACCCAAAACAAAAAAAAATCCACTTTGTAAGAGGATGAAAATCCCTCCTTGTTTATGAGATCCACATGAGTGATATGTTTTTGTCCCATCCTTTCATCTTCAGTCTGTGGATATCTTTGCATATGAGGTGAATCCAGTATATTGTTTGGTCTTGTTTTTTAAATCAACTCTTCCAGTCTATGTCTTTTGATTGATAAGTTTAGATCATTTACATTCAATGTTATTATTGAGAAATGATTTTTATTACCTGCTATTTTGATTTATTTCTGGTTCTTAATTTGTATCAGTTTCTCCTTGGATAGACTATATTCTTCTAGTATAGTTCCTCCCTCTGCTGGTTTTCAATTTTATTTTTTATTTCTTTTTCATGAAATATTTTATTGAGTATGTTTTTTAGTGTAGGCTTTCTAGTTGTGAATTTTTTAACTTTTGTTTATTGTGGAAGACTTTTATTTCATCATCAAATCTGAAGCTTAATTTTTCTGGATATAGTATTCTTCATTGTCATCCATTTTCTCCCAGATCTTGGTATATATTTTTCCATGATCTCCAAGATTTTGGAGTCTGGGTTGAGAAATCAGTTGAAATCCAGATTTATTTACCTCTAAATGTGACCTATCATTTTTCTCTAGCAGCCTTTAAAATTCTATCCTTATTCCGTATGTTAGGTATTTCATTATAATGTGCCTTATGTGAATCTGTTGCAATTTTGTATGTCTGGAGTCCTGTGTGCCTTCTTTATTTAATTTTCCATTTCATTATTAAGATTTGGGAAATTTTTGGATATTATTTCATTGAAAAGATTTCACATTCCTTTAGTTTGTATTAGAGACTTCATCCATCACAAGAAATTTTAAATTTGGTCTTTTCATATTATCACATCTTTCTTGAAAATTCTGTTCATGGTCTCTTAGTGTCTTTTTTCCATGGTCAACTTTTTTTTCAAGATTATATATTTTGCATGCATTACCTAAAATTCTATTTTTCAAGTGTTTCTAGTCTGCTGATGATTTTCTATTGAATTTTTCATTTGGTTTATTTATTCCTTCATTTTGAGGATTTCCACTTGGTTGTTTTCCAGAATCTCTCTCTTTTTGAAGTAATATTTCACTTTCTGTATTTTCTCTCTGATTTCACTCCTTACAATTTCTTTTATCTCAAAGATCAGTTTAACTATGAAATTTCTAAATTCCTCCTCTAAAACTTCTTCCACTGTGGTGTCAATAGATTCTGTTATTATTTGGTTTGCTTAGAATGGTTTGTTCCCTTGTTGTTTCATATGATTTGTGTTTCTGCTCATTTATCAGTATGAGTCAGCCATCTTTGTCTTCCTGCCCCTAGATATTTTTCAATCAGTGGGAAAGATGGATTTTTTTCTATCAATGGTACTAGGAAAATTGTATATGTACATTCCAAAGACTGGAGTTGTACCTTTACATCATCTTAAACATTAATTCAAAATAAATCAAAGACTAATGTACAAGCTAACACTATAAATGTCTTAGAAGAAAATATGACAAGAGCTTGATGACATTGGATTTACAATTTTATATGGTACTGAAAGTATTCAAAACAAACAAAAATTAAATTGGACTTCCTCAAAATTAGATAACTCTGCATCAAGGTACACTATCAATAAAGTAAAAAGGCCATCAACAGACTGGTAGAAAATATTTGGAAATATATATTTTATAAGGAATAGGGATTGAACACAAAGAACTCAATGACAACAATGACCAAAGAAAAGAAAACAAATCCATAAAAACATTTAAAAATGGACAAAGAAATTGAATAAACTTTTCTCCAAAGAAGATATACAAATGGCCAATAAACACATGATATTATGCTTATCATAACTATTCACTAAGGAAATCAAAATCAAAATCACAATGAGATACCATTGTATACTCATTATCATGATAATGATAAATAATGTAAATGTGTTGTTGATTTTTTATGATAAATAAACAGAAAGTGTTGCAGAGGCTGTGGAGAAATTAGAATGCTTGTACATTACTGATGGGAGTGTAAATGATGCAGCCACTATGAGAAATGTTAAGATTTTTACTCAAAAGCTTAACATAATATTGTCATATATATTCTAATAATTCAACTCCTGAGAATATAACAAAATATTTGAAAGTAAGAACTCAGATATTTGTATAACCAAGTTCATAACTGCATTATTGACAATGATCAAAATGTGAAAGCAATTCAAGTGTCTATCAATAGATGAATACATAAAATATGTGATGTATAATACAGTAGAATTTTGTTCCAGTTTAAAATGAATGAACACCTATTACATGATACAATATGGATGAACCTTGAAAATATACTAAGTGAAAGAATCCAGACACCAAGGGGCAAATACTGAATGATTTCTGTTATAAGGTACCTAGAATAGTCATATGAACATAGACGTAAAGTAGAACAGTGGTTTCCAGAGGTTAAGGAGAAGGGGAAATTGGGATTAGAGAGAATATCAATTTGGGCACTATGAAAAATTCCTAAAGATGTATATTGATATAAATACACAGCGATATGAATATACTTAATGCTACTGAATTACACATTTACAAAAGACTAAGATGTAAATTTTCTATTGTATTTATTTTCTAAAATAAAACATCTAAAAATATTAACAATCTTTCAATGAACAATTCAGTGACATTTATTATAATCATGATGTTTTACCACCTACATCTAGCTTTAATACATTTACAATATCTAAAATAAAATTCCTCACCCATAAAGCATCCCCTGTCCATTACCCTCTCCTCTAGTCCTTGGAAACCAGCAATCTATATTTTATCCTGTAGTATTCTCTACTAAAACTGCCATAACAAAATACCAAATATTGGATAGCTTAAATAATGAACATTTATTTTTCGTAATTCTGGGGGCTGAAAGTCTAAGGTCAAGGTGTCTGCAGTGTTGATTTCTCCTGAAGCCTCCTCTTCTCTTTTTGTTCTTTTCTTTCCGAGTTTTTGATGGCTGCCTTTTCACTCTATGATCACAATGCCTTTGCTCTGTAAACACACACTCTAGATGTCTCTTTCATTTGCTTACTTAGGTGACAAGCAAAAACTATATACATTTATGGAATACACCATGATGTATTGATAAATGTACACACTGTGGAAAAGCTGAATCAAGCTATTTAACATATGCATTAACTTACATACTTATCACTTTTGGGGCGGGAATACCTAAAGTCTAATGTCTTAGCAATTTGGAAACATACAACGTTGTGTCATTAATTGTAGTTACCATGCTGTTCAATCAATCTCTTGAAAGTATTCCTCCTAACTGAAATTTTGTGCCTTTGACAATTTTCTCTTAAAACCCCAATCCAGTCCCTGATAATCATCATTATACTCTATTTCCATGAATTTTATTTTTAAAGATTTCACATAAAAGGGAGATCATACAGTGTTTGTCTTTTTATGCCTGGTTTATTTTAACATAAGTAGGTTGGCTCATCCATATTGCCACAAATTACAGGAATTTTTTTTTCTAAACA